TTTTCACATCCAATCCATTAGGCAAACAAGATGAAAAAGTATTTCCTACTTTGCTGAAAAAATATCAGGACTCGGTATAAAGCGTGCCTTAAAAAAAAAAAAAAGAGAAAAGAAATTAAGTGTGACCATCTATAATGTTTTTTTTCCAGCAGCTCTGACAGCCTTCCAGGCATCCTGGCCGTGCAGGGAGGGAGTAGATGCTTTGAAGAGCTCTAACAGTTTCTCACTTTTTGGCCCGTCCCGGTGTTGCAGGAACAGTAATGAGTCAAATTAGTCGGAAAGAAACAGCCCCAGAGTTCGCCCCCCCCTCGAAGCCCCCTCCATACCCGGCTTCACTGAACCAAACCCAAACTGTTCTCTGCTTTTCTTTTTCCCCTTCCCTTTCCCTGCCAGCTTGGCGGGGAACGTGTTTCATGACACGTTTCTTTTTAACCTGCAAAATGATTTTTGAAACAAGAGATCCTCCCAAAGTTTGCCTTTCAGGCTGGCTGGCTTTTCTGGTGGTTCTGGACAAGTGAAAATCCAAAGGGAAAAGGCTCTTTCCGGAGTTTCGACCACTTCTAGTACCAGTGACCGTCTCTGATGGGGAGACAGAGGGGAGTGGAGGAAGAGCAGCTTCGCAGACCGACCAGTGGCTCCTTGGGAAGGCACAATCCTTGACTGACCACTGGAAAAATGAACCTGTTGAAGAAAAAGGATCACCCCCAAACACGAGCTGTCTTTCTACTAAATTTTAATTTATTTATTTTATTTTCTTTCCTTTTTTTTTTTTTTTTGACAAAGACATCTGAATTATACACTGAGTAACAATATGACCAGATATTGCAAATACCCCTTTTTGGTGAAATTCAAAAAGGGATCATAAAAGAAAGAGCTTGTGTGGACCCAGCTGGCCCAGGGAATGCAACAGCCGCCACCTTTTGCTTTTGCGGAAGAAAGAGCCCTGTGGGGCAGGGGGCCAGTTGGAGTGGGCTGGTCTCATCCCAGGACACTTCATAAAAAAGCCTGGCGATCAGTTATATTTTTGACAGAGAAAAAAGTAATTAACGTGCAAGAAGCGGTGTAGGTAGGGGGAAAAATGGGAGAAGGTGACATGAGGCTTTGGCAAGCATTCTCCGAGGGCGAGGAGAGACATCCTCCATCAGAGGATGGAGAGCTGCATTCAGAGCTGCAGCGAGGGGACACGGCTGCAGCAGGACACGAGTCCCCACGCACACCCAGTGCTCACGGTTGGAGCAGGGGCTTGGACCCACGTTTCCTGATGTGCCCTTGGAGAATTTCACTTCTCCATCATTTTTCCCCTCCGGAGAACACAAAGGGGCGGGAGAGGCATCTTTCATCTACCGCAAAGGTAAAACCAGATTTAATGATGTGAAAGTGAAGCAAGACAAACTCCTTGCAGGAGGGGAATTAACCCCTGTGACAAAATTCTTGAGGCCTGGGGTGGATCTGTCTGTCACTCCAAACCTTTAAATCAAGGCCCGGTGTCTGCCTGCCAGAGGTGCTCTAATTCAGCCGCAAGTCACCGCGCCGGCGGGGTGGCGTTTAATGGGCTGTGTTATGCGAGAGGTCAGGAGAGAGGGACATAACGGTCCCTTCTGGCTTTAAAAATCTATGAATCGATGCGACAGTGTGGCAGAGCTCCACCCATACCAATGAGATGGTTTGCTTCCCCCGAATCTCACTTAAAGGAGGGCAAAGCAGACAGAGTTGGAAGGACAAAGCCTCACTATGCAATTACCATAAAGCAAAGAGGAGCTGAAGGGCTGGGAGAGGGGTAGGGGTCTCGCTGAAGGGCGCTGTGCCTGGCCCCAGCCAGTATTCCAGGTGGTGTTTAGCCAGGTGCTGCTGAGGGATGAGAGCCCTGGGAGGGTACAGCAGATGTAAATCCATTCAGATAAGGAGCGTGAGTGAACAGAACCTCAAATCCTTTTATATTTTCACCAGGTCAGTGCATGGAGAGATGTTTACAATACAAGAAGCATTTACAGCTATCACTGCAGGGTGATTTACTTAAGTCATGCTCATTTTAACCCTCCATCCTCCCAGCACGGCTCGCTCTATCTCGGTCTTCCCCTCTTACTACCTGGCATAGGTAAACCAAATTAACCTACTGGATTACAGGTGAAGCTTTGGTCGGTACAGATGCACGCAACCAGTACGCGTAGCTACACGCAAATATAACAAATGAGCCAGCAAACACTTCTGGATCCTGAGTTCAGTAAGGCAATTTTTCCTTCCAAACTGGAGCAATAGGAAAACTACTACATATTTATTTTACACACATTTCCAAGTTTAACCAATGTGAGCCTGAAAAACCAAATTACCCTCCCCAATGCTTTTTGGATCCAGAAAGCTAACTGTGGCACAGGTGGGGTGTCACAGGGCAAGTTTGACACTGGTAGAAAAAGCAGGGAGTGGGGAAGCAACAACTCAACACCCTTGCAAGTGAGAAGGATCAATGCCCGAGTCCCCACGGGGACCTTGGTCGGTCCTGCCTGGCCCAGAGGAGGAGGTCCCCAAGCATTGCACTCTGCAAGTGGCGTGCAGTGTGGGCAAATTCAAAACTCAGGAGTATCTGTCACAAAGCTCTGCCACTCAGGTAGCACAACGCATGCCGTCGAGAAAGGGCTGCAATCCCTTACAGTGCCTGCATCAGGCAAACGCACTAATTACAAGGAAAAGGCAGTGCTGGGATGCATTTCTCCTCCTTGGACTGACCCAGGAACGCGCAGTCCTGAGATTCCTAGTGTTCCCGATAAGCCACTGCAGCTGGGGAGCCACTGAATGCGCTATATTTAAATGAACATCTCTCCTCGTCTTATGACTCCTTACTCAATCCATGCAAAGCTGGAGCTGTGTCACTTTGTGTCATTAGCAATTGCTTAACAGCTCACTTGAGCCAGCTCTTCCCTCCTCCCAGTTGTCTGGTTTTCAAAGCAGGGCTGTGCTACTCCAGCATGCATGTCCTGCCTCGGCGCTGGAGACAGATGCACTCAGAGGGTGCTGACTCACGGACGCAGGCAGATTAAAGTTGGATTGCTAAAGCAGTTGCTGTCCCAGCTGTCCCTCTGCGCCCAGCCACAGCAAAGACAGCTGAACTACACAAAGATCAACCCCTGCACCGCTACTGTACATCCTGATATATGGGGGGACCCGGAATCAGCCCCAGATGATTTTAATCTGCCGGGCTGTTACATGTAGGTGGCCAGGGGCTGCTTCACGTACAGTGCAGATGTTTCTGCCGTGAGGTGGAGAGACGTCCAGGGGAAGGGAGGAGCAAAGAGCTGGGAGCTCCAGGGGTGTCAGCCGTTTGCCTGGGTCCATGAGTCAACTCGCTGACGCGTGGTAAAGCCACATGCTTTAGTACACGCAGCTTCCCCGGTACTGCCCGCCGGTCCGTCTCCAAGAGGTGGACGGGGTAATGCAGCCCCTAGTCATTCTCTGGCCTTTTGCAGGCAGACAGCAAACAAAGCTGGCAAGCAGGGCAGTGGGATTATTTTACCATCTGTGCATTAGAACTGGCCCAGGAGTCACCAAGCTCGCTTCATGCAGGACATGGCTGCTTTGGCGTGCTAATGACTCCTGCTCACTGTCAGCTGGGGCTAGATTGGAATCGGGGACGAGGAGGTGGAAAACACATTCTCTTTCCTGTTTCAGTAACTGCATCCTTTCAGAGGAAAGCCAGTTCCGGGAAGAATGAATCCTCATTTACAGAGCGCTCCCCCATCTGCCGTTCATCAGGCTTCTCACCCTTCACCAGGGCAATCCACAGCCAGCACTGGGCTTGGGGGACCTCAGCCCCCGGGCAGCCAGCACGCCGTGGGGCAGTCCCCCAAGTCCTCCGAAGGGCTGGGCAAGTCCTGCTGAGGAAGCCGGGTAGGGGAGTATATTCTGCACATTTCAAAAAGGGAACCTGGGACCTGGTATCTCATTCTAGAAAGTAATCATGGACTTTCCAAATGGATGGGGCCAGGCTCTTTTCGGTGGTGGCTGGTGACAGGACAAGGGGCAATGGGCAAAAACTGGAACATCAGAAGTTCTAGACAA